TAAGGGGGCCAAGTGGGGCTGAGAGCAGAGCAGGGTTCAAAGGGGAGCATGGGGGCCAAGGGGGTTCAAGGGTGGGGGAAAGGAGGGGGCCAAGGGAGGCCTAAGGTGGGGGGCAGTAGCATCCATCAGTATCTGGTCCCAAGTGGGGTGCTGCTCCCCTTGAATGGGGAGCAGGATAGAGACAGGGTATTTGGTGCCTTCCTAAGAGAGCGTCATAGCAGCCCCACAACCACACCAGTGGAGCCGTGCATTGCCCAGTGATGCAGGGCGGCCCCACTGCTTCGGTCCCTTCCAGGCACGCACTAGGCAGCGGTGGCGGCGTGGGATGCCCAGGGGGTCATAGCTAGAGGCTCCCCTGGCACCAGCTGGAGCCTGGGCACCATGCATCAGAAGCTGCTGAAGAGCGCCCACTACATCGAGCTGGGAAGCTACCAGTACTGGCCCGTCCTGGTCCCGCGGGGGATCCGGCTGTACACCTATGAGCAGATCCCCGTGTTCCTCAAGGACAATCCCTACATCACCGACGGCTACCGGGCCTACCTCCCCTCCCGGCTGTGCTTAAAGAGGTAATGCAAGCCGAGCGGTCAGCGTGTCCCATCCTCAGCAGCTGGCTAAAGCCACAGCCTTACGAGTCCCGCCTACCAGGATATGAACATCTGCTGTTGTGTTTTCTCACGTGTTTCCTCTGCAGTCTCTTCATTTTATCCAATGAGACGGTAAACATCTGGAGTCACTTACTGGGCTTCTTCCTTTTCTTTACTCTGGGCATATATGACATGACCTCTGTATTGCCTTCGGCGAGTGCCTCTAGAGAAGACTTTGTTATCTGTTCCATTTGTCTTTTTTGCTTTCAAGTAAGTTATTTCGTAAAGTAGCTCTTGAACATGCTTTTGGATTTTTTTTAATCCCCACTATTTTATTTGCCACTGTTTTCAGAATCCTGAGCTACAAAATGGCTCAGTCTTAAGGCAAGTAGTTTTGGCTGAGGTAGAGAAGGCATGTGTGTCAGAGAAAGGGAAACTTGTTACATGTATTAAATGCATCAGTGTGGCTTTGAAAGAATAGCACACCTGTTAAACTACTGGTGTCTAAGTTTGAGTTAGTAAATTAAATTCTCAAAGGCCCATTTTTGAGTGGGAGCGTTAAACATGCAGCAGCTATCAACCAGGCTTCAAAATACATCCAAATAAGGATGTAGTGAAAGGCCAGGATTTGCTGGGGAAATCAAGATGGGGAAAATTAACTACTGTACTTTAAAATTTTGGCATCTGGCAAAAGTTCAATTCAATGATTTTTTCACTCTATTATCCAAGTGCTGAAGACCCCCAAGTCTCCCTCAGAAAAAAACTGGTTAATTCTTTGTAAAAAAGCAGAAAAGGGTGGGAGATAAATCATGCATGCTGGAGAAATCTGGAGCAATGCAGTCTTTTCTCCCTCTGAGCTGCAGAATAGCTCTGGAGCTGGAGGTTTGCATACCTGTCCTTTCCCTCCTGTCCCTGTATATCTTGGTTGGCCAGGGAATCTATCTGGTATCCGCAGTTAAGCAGTTCTGCAAAAACACGTCATCCAGTGTACAAACCGCATGTATTGTTTTAGATATCTTCTTGCATCCCTCTTCAGCAAAATCCATTGCTTTTACAGCCAACCTGGCCTTTTGTGCATACCTAGGTTGGGCAAAATTTTCCCCTATGTGTAGGTTCCTTTATAGTATCTTTCTCTTTCTTTTTGCTTTAACATTAATTTTTTCGAAGTCCAGTTTATAACAAGTTATTTTGCTTGCCTAGGTCTGTATGCTTTGCTCAGTAGGCTATCATCTCTTCTGTTGCCATCGCTCAGAGAAGACCAGCCGGCGATGGATGGCATTGGATTACGCAGGGATTTCCATTGGTATCCTGGGCTGCTATGTATCTGGAGTGTTTTACGCATTTTACTGCAATAACGTGAGTTTGAAATGCTTGTTTATGCGGTGTAGTAAACATTGCTTGACATGTGTAATCTCACTGCCATGGCATCTGATGTCCCAGGCAAGAAGTTCGTTGCACAGTAAGTCAAGAGTGCATAATTAGCAAACAGGCAGTGATGTGAACTGAGGGACCTTTAAACAAATGCTAGCGCACACTTTCTTTGAAAAGAAGTAGGCAAAGTGGGATTTGATCTCTCATCTGTTGCAAGTACTCCTTTAAAACTGCCTGTCGTTCAAGAAAATGTGGGTGTCTATACATACATTTAGCAGAGTGCAAGTTTTACTATTCCTAGACTTGTCAAATGCATCAAGTTGGCTGACACGCATCGCATAATCAGAAGTAATTCAGTATGATTTGTGCTGCTTGGACCTACTGATTGGCTTAAATTTGGCAGAGATAAGGTTGCTCTCATACCCAACCTAGACTGCTGGTTCTTGTTGGAAATAAGCTTTGGCGTTGGGGGAGCAGCCAGGAAAACACCTAAATACCAAAGGTACTAGTTTTATGCAACTTACCAGGCAACATTAAAATCATGTGTTGAGAGGAACCAGTAGTTTGGGACAGGCAGAGATCCAGAAATCTGTAAGAACTTAATAAGTTTGGGAATAAGGGAGATAGAAATGGGTTGGGTGAGACAAATAAGAGAAAGAGGAACAGCTGAAAAGTTTAGGAAATGAGGGGCTGGTTTGATTTCCAGTTTATGTACAAAACAGGGATAATTTATGCACAATCAGAAGTTTTTGTAGTAGAGAAAAATGAATGCCTACTGGCTTGCAAGTGACCTGTCATGAATTGTTTACTTTTGGTTGCACATCCATGTATTTTTGGGCAGAGGAGGTGGAAGTAGGTCCCACCAAAATCTTTACATGTAGGCTTTTTCAACTTTGATCTTACTGGGTTGGCAATTTAAATATTTGTCAAGTATCTGGATGCATAAGCAGAAACAGATTTAACTTGCCAGACTAGTTGAGGAAGAAGTACGACTCATTTTAGCAACCTAGGAGCTTATGAAGAAACTTTTAGGATGAAAAGTATGAGTAAAACAGGGAAGTATAGAGAAGGCAAATCATCCCACGGAATCTGGATGACTTGCTGTCAAGAATACTAATTATATTTACACTTGACCAAAGAAGTATAATGTTATGGACTTCTCTCCTTTTCTTTCCCAGTATTGGCGGCAGGTATATTTAATCACTGTGCTGGCGATGATCCTAGCAGTGTTCTTTGCTCAGATTCATCCCAGTTACCTCACACAACAGTGGCATCGACTGCGCTCTGTCATCTTCTGTTCTGTGTCTGGATACGGAATCATTCCTACCATCCACTGGGTTTGGCTTAATGGTGGGGTTGGTGCATCTATTGTGCAGGTAAGCAGAGAAGTCCGCAAAGTTCTTCAGTTTGGTTCTGACTTGTCTCCTACCCCTTTTTTAATTAGAAACATGATTAAAAATTGAGTAGCTCCTAATTGGAATGATGGCTTGCAACAAAAATAGAAAATATGTGAATGTGTCTTTGAAACCTGCACACAAAGGGAAAACATCTATTAGGTATAAATGTTACTGTTATGTATACGTCTGCAGAGCATGCATACATCATGCAATCTTAGATAGATTTGAGGTGCTCCTTGTTAAACCCATACACACACATATTAAATGCACTGTGTGTGTATGCATATCTTGATATATACATATGTGTGTTACTTGAGCAAGGGTGTGTGCAACTGCGTCAGCTGAGAGCAGTGATTCTCAACCATGGTACCACAGCACCCTGGGGTGCCTTGAGACCCTTTCAAGGGTGCCCAGGGGGCAACGCAGTGTTGGCAGTGTTATATGTACAAACATGATTCAGAAGATAAAACCAGGGGCTGCAAGCCACACATGATGTGAATATTTGGTTCCCTGGGAACAACTAACGGCAGTGTACCACATCAAGCCGATTTCTGATCTAGTCAGTTTTCTTTATATCCATGCTGATCTGATATCAAACCAATGTATGAGTGCACCTCTAGTCTATATCCTTTTACCTGGGGCTTGCAGCAAAGCCGGAAATTTGCCAATATAAAAATACTCATTACTTAACCTTTTAGGAACCTAGAATTATTTGTATTCTTATTAACTTACTTAATGTTAACAGATCTAACCAGAGCAGGGAAATAATCTGAAAAGTCATTCAGGGTATAAGATAGGGGGAAATGCCTATCTTTGGGGGGAAAAAATGTGGATTTGGAGATGTATAATGAGAAGAACCCGTCATAAATTAAATAGATTTGACTGTGCACAGTAAGTGATGCATGTCTGTGTAGGTGTTTATAATGGAGCCATAGCATCCGAGTGCTGTCTAGGAGTGATGATTTAGCTCAATCCAGAGCCTGTTGAAATTGGTGGAATGGCTTTTATTGGCATTAGTGGGCATCGGACAAGATTTGTGCTGATTATTGCTCAGAACTAGATCAGTGGCTCAACCTTTTTAGATTCAAAGCACCACTCACAAAATGCTAGCTCTTAGCTTTCAGTCTTTTTTTTGACTACAGAAAAATAAGAGCAATTCTTCTGTTGCAAAGAACTCGGGCCACAACAGGGCAGAATGTTTTTGACGCTATGGATTCCTCGTTGAAAACTGGGTTTCTCTTGTGAATTGTGTAGGTGTGTGCACATGTAACAGTGCTGATATTGCAGAGCACTTGCAACACCCTTAAAATGATCTCACAACATCGGTTGAGAATCACTGAACTAGGCGATACACTTTAATTTTGGTTTTTTGCCCACCTATAAACATGCTGTAGTTCAGTACTGGGCTTGTTCCCCTATATCTCAAAAAAATAGGGAAAGAAAGAAAACCTGTTTTGGACAGCAAGCTTTAACACCACCTAATGTGTGCTGCTTTCCATTGAACAGTTTTAATTCCTTTTTAACATCTGGTGTTTAACAGCCTTGTGAGATCAAGTGTTTTATATTATGCCTCAT